ACACACACACACACACACACACACACACACACACACACACACACACACACACAGCATCATCCATCACTATCAGAGCCGTTACTGCTGAATTAACAGTTGTAATAATGCATTTTCTTGACTGGTGTGTTCTTTGTTCCCCAGATCATCCCTCCCAGCCAGTCTTCTCTGTCAAAAAAAATACACTCACAGCATATAGACTCTGCAGGGTGTGTGCAGTGATGGAGATTAAGGGTCTAAACACAGATGGCTTTCATATGTCGTGATACAAAGAGACAGGGGCGGAGCCTGGGTTGCCAAGGGAGATGGTACCTCAGACACAGGCTGGTGGCTCATGAATATAAAGCAGTGAGGGGTAACACACTTTTATTACCGCTCTCTCGCTGCATGTGTGAATGAACCGGTCCAGGTTTAGCAACATGAAGTTGGCTCCAGGCCACAGGGAGACCCCGACCCCCTTCTTTTTTAAGATACATTCCCAGCTTGTGCTAGTATGAAAAAAATCTTCCCTTTGGCACAAAGTGAAACAACCCCCACTCCACAACCTGCCACCACACCCCTCTCTCCATCCCCCAGCTCCCCACCCCCTACAACTGAGGACACTTATCCACAGCCTCTTCTCCTTCTTGTCCCTGCAGGTTAGATTTCCACACTGGATCTGAAGATTGCAACAATAAAAAATGCAGACCAGTTGTGGGCAAGCATGAGATGGGATGCTTGTATATACGTTTTTACAGAAAATGCATGATATGCCAAGGGTAATCAAATATTTGTCTCTGCCGACCAGTGCAGTTTCAGTCTACATACATTTAATATTTCCACACTCTTATGAGGTCACATGCCCTTTTACCTCGAACACTGAAATGTGATCAGTTAATCCATGAGTCTAAGTGAACATTTGGGCCAAATTTTAAAGAATTCTTGCGAGGAGTTCTTAAGATAATGTGTTAATGAGGCAAAGAAGGGTTTTATGAGGTCACAGCGACATTAACCTTTGACCCCTGAAATGGTATCAGTTCATCCATGAGTTCAAGTGAACTTCTGTACCAAATTGGAAGAAACTGATACACTGCCGAGCAACAATTCAATTACATTTGGTATAGACTCATTTACATCCTCTCTAAGGATGAGTTGTAACAACTGTGATGATCCCCTGAATATTTTTTTAAATTTTGATATTGATGTGTTTGCCTTTATTTTAATAGATATAGTGAAGGAGAGAAAGAAAACTGGATGAGACAGAGTAGGGAAAACAGTCAGTGGCTCGGCCAGCTGAGAGTCGAACCATTGACCTGCTCCTGAATGCACCCTGACTTCTATTTATATTAGTTTCGCCTTTATTTTGACAGTTGAGGGAGACAGGAAACATGAGATAGAAAGTACCATCAGCAACAATGGTCCCTCGGCTTGGAGTCAAATCCTGGACATTGTATTATGTAGTACAGTAAGCGCACTATGCTTTATCTCAATCTTCACTGAAAGCAAACAAAAAGAGCTGTTGGGATGTAGCCACAGGATCCCCAAGGTGCAGATGATTTGGGAAAGTGTTCAGAAAAAATAAACACACAGAACATATGGTGTTTTCTGCATAAGCAAGCTACCATCACACATCCTCCCAACAAGTTGCCTGCACACACAGACAAACACACCCACCCAGGAAGTGCAAGATTTATCAGCCGTGTAGTGCCCACTCATCATGTTATTAGCTAGTGAACTTTAATTGTGGCACTCTATAATGCTCACTACTGTAATCTGCTTGTACACAAACCTGTTTACGTAACATGATAAGACACTTTAAAGTCGGTTTAGCTGCATGAGGCGACAAGAGTGCGTTCAGGACACATTCAGCTAATGCATTACTTTTCCTGGCTTGGAGGAAGGAGGGCAGATGGATTTACCATATGGACGACAGGAGCCATGCCGACTCTCCATCTCAACAGCCGCCCCATCTGACCATCACTTTCAGGCAGATCATAACAGCCAGAATCAGTGGTGCGTCATGCTGCATTCAAAGCTCTTACTAAGTGACAGAGTGATATGTGGCTGTTTCAGGCTATAACAAGAACATGTCTGACCAAACAACTTTTAAAAAAGCACTTAGGTTGTTGCAGCCATCTGCGGGTCTGTTTGACAAAAATGAGAAGACGACTCACAGACCATACTGTCGGAGAGAGACAAAGAGATCCGTATTGACTGTGAGTGAAATAGAGAAGAAGAGACGCACCCAAAAGAATCCCACACGGATGCAGACGGGGAGAGACAGTCGATGTGGACCATCACCCAAGGGGGGCAGACATCCAGAGCTCAGTGCTGACACACTGACAGCAACCACTGGACTCCAGGGCAGAGCTGTCCCCAGCATCACCCCGCAGACAGGATTCCCTCATCCAGCCAAAACCAACACAATGCCAATAGAGGAACATGCAAAGTGTTTGCCAAAAAAACGAATTTATTAACTAGAATTAATTAAATGTTCTTAAATTAACTGCACTGTTTATTTGAAATATAGCACACACATTTTTTTTTCCTGAAACTAGATTTATTTTTTAATTTTGTGATTTATCACAATGAAACTAGCGGAGAATCAACTATCTGTTTGAACGGCCCAAACAAGGTGACCACAACACTGTGTCTCTGAAGACAAGTGCCATAGCAATATTATGTGATAAGATCTCTCTCATCACTTGAATAATTCATTCTCTCCAGAAAATGTAGGCGAGGAATGACAGAGGCAGAGGAGAGATGAAGAATAGGAGGCCAGAAAAGGAGCGGGTAAAGAAGTCCCTGACCTCTCTTATCTTGTCTCCTTTCGTCCCTAACTGATTAACACCGCACACACTTCTCCTGAACGTTTTAATTAGAGCAGAAAGAAAGTCTCACTCACACACACAGTATCAGCAGCTGTTCTCATGCTCACAGCGTCTTTAGACAATCTCAGATCTGTCCCCTTGTTCCGACCGTAATGCCTTTAATTGTTATTATCTAATTGGCTGTAGGGTTTTTTGCTGTCTCCTGACTATAACTCAGCAAATCCCCTCTGTCCTGAGACCTGTCCGCCACATTCTGGGTTCATTAGGAGCAGCCGCAGTCGCTGGTTTGCGATCTGTAACTGATACTGGTTTTGTTTCCAGCTCCTCTCGGAACAATAGCTGACCCATGTATGAATCCTGGGACATCAGGAAAACTATTCTCATGTATCATCCGCTGAGCACAGTCCTGGCACAAAGTGAATCCCAACTTATGTCCCAGGGGGCGCTTCTTCCGTTTCCAGGAGGTCAGGTTTTCCCTACCACTGCAAGACTCAATTATAGCCCCCTACCAACATGCACATGGTCAGCTGCAGACACCATGGATGGGTAGTTTTTATACTTTTGTCTGTATATGGTGACCATGGGACAACAAATTGGAGGCTACACATAACTGAGCCTGGCATACACCCTGTGACCAAAAATTACATCATGTTATGCTGAAAATATAACATCAGCTTTAGATGCAGCACCAAAGCATTTTTGAGATGTGCCTAAATCAAATGAACAGAAAAATAAACTTTGAATTGGTCCTATTATAAGATAACTACAAAAGATATACTTTACAATATGAGAACTAGAACAGACTAACAAGTGACTGAAACGATGGAATGATAAAGAATTTTATTAATTGATTGACACAAATTGGGGGATGTTGGTTGGCGTTGATGAAGATGTAGCTGAGCTAATCTGTTGTGGTGTGTGGATACGTCAGCGAAAAAAGGTTGGAGACTACTGCTCTAACAGATTTTCTGACCGCCGACAACTCACACAAGAGACAAGAGGCAGCTGGACGTGAAAAGATGGAGGGAGAACAAATTGAAAAATCCCCACGAGAGCAGCCATCGTTCACTAGCTCCTACAAAGTGCATACATTCCGGTGTAGATTTTGCGGAGTACTTACATTGCTGCTGTCCTCTCCTCCAGGTTCAATCATGTAGGTGTGATTGCCGTCGAAAAACATTCCACTAAAAGAGAGAAGGGGGAGAAGGAGCATCAAAGCACATGTCAGCACCCGTTCTTGCTGTTTTAGTCATCGCTACATGAAATAATGCACCTGATTTAGAATCCTCCCCAGCTATCAAGGTGACAGATCAGCCACTTCGGTGGTTGCCCAGGGGGTTGATTGTATTATTGGAGCATTTTGTAGATAAAATAACTGCTATGCACTTATACACGGTGCAATTTCTGACAAAACCCTCGGCCACCCTCACCGCTGTGTTTGGCAAATGTACAACTCAGAGGTGGAGGATGATGAAAAATAAAAGGTCATCCATCATTTCAGAGATTCCCCCCACACAGCATAATATAAAGGTCACCTAAAGTTGTCATCTCTGGAAAAACAACTAAGAGTTTGGAGTGGCTGAATGACTCAGATGTCAAAGGGACATTTCTTGAAAAACATAATGACTTCACTTAATATCCACTCATCTGCACTTAAAACTGTAAATACATCCATAACATAAAAGTAAGACACACACACATCATATGAAAAAGCAAATGGGGTCAGAGATCGGTTTCTCATTTAGCAGCTGTTTGAAGGTCTTCTCCACCTGCTGTTCGGACATCATCCGTTAATTAACTTTATCTGAAGCTTTTAGGCGATTGCAGGGGCGGGTCAAACCATGAAGTCAGGAGGGTAAACACTGCAAGTGCTGACAATCTGTCTTCTCTCCTCCAACTGTCTCTCTCTAAGCTGTTTTCAGGCCCTCAACACACATAATCCACCTTCAACGATTGCTCTGTTGTGGTCAAACATTGCACTTACTGTCGATTACACCACGTGTATAATAACTATGGAGCAATTTTATACATTTCTTGGTAACCCTAAACTATGGTCATTCAAATACTTCCACTGAAGGCCCTAAAAATGTGGAGAATAGCAGCTATTCTGTGCACAAATCAGGATTGAGCAAAATTTTAATATAAATCTGAATAAATGAATTGGCAAAACACCACACACCAAATAGCAATGGATCAAATGACAATGTTAAAGGGGTCGATGATACTGACGAGACTACAGAGAATTGTATCTAGTGATTTTTCTGACCATATTTTGGCTTTAGTTCATTTTTCACAGTATTTTTTAAACTTTCACTAAGAACAAGCTCAAAAACTCACTAACCGCTGGAAACGTTTACCAAAAAATCTGACGTATCAACTTAGTCTAGTCTAACGATTCTGCATATCAACAAACTGAATCTGGACTGGTGGCAACATCCAAAGCTTCCCTGAAAAAAAGGGATGGTTCTGAATTAGAAGTCTCTGCAGTTTAATGTATGCATTTCTAGAAAACAAGGAGGGAAAGTCACTTCTGAGCAGTTTCGTTCTGGTCAAATATGTAGAACTTGAGTGACGTTTAAAACAGGAACCTGAGACAATAGTGTCTACGTCCCATTTGATGGATGTTGCCAGGATCACTATCCCTCGGTGTAAAGCTAATAGCAGTATTGAATTGCAGGGTGAAGTTTATGAGAGAGAGGGAGAGAGCAGAATGTATATTATGTATAGTGAAAACCTGACTCAGCATCAGGGAAATATCCTCTCCCTAATGTCTAACCCCCCCGATACCACTATGCCTTCCCTTAACTCCCTCCCTCTCATTGTTTTCCCCTCACCCACCTGCACATGGACACACACACAGCATATTATGGGTGTGCCTCTGCCCCTTTATATGCCATTGTGCGTTTTTATTTGTGCACTGAGATAATCTGAAATTCCAATCAAATTGAAAACACAACTACTAACACTACTGTCAAAAATAAAAACAATTACAACAACAGCAGCTTCATAACACACCACAGAAATATGTCTATTTGTAAATATAATAATACATATAATGATAAATTAACGTATGACATGTGTTTTCATTATTTTGTGCTTGCCGATATATAATTTGCTGTGCTTACAAATTTCCCAACATGTTTCCATAATCACATGAAATATGCAAATGTTATTAAAAGCCCCGAGCTTGGTTTAGTTTATTCAGCAAATATAAATCTGATTTCCTCCACTTGCCATAACTAGCTGAATTTGCATGATGTGACATTAGTAGAAGATATATTGAGTTGGAACAAGGTTTGATGAGGTTGATAATGATCAAAAATTCACATGTAGCAACTCAAAGGCATAATCAGATGCAGTAGTGAATACTGTCAACAATGTGCAGATGTGAATGGTGTTTTATAGTCGACTGTTACAGCCTAAGACTTCATAAAGCTTGGATCTCTCCATCATAACACCTCGCACTTTCATTTAAAAAAGCTCTTTCTCTGTCAGTTGTTCAAATTTCTCCGTTGCCTTTTTACACTTAAATCAACCAAACAACTTCTTCTTTATTTTCAAGAGCAATTGTTGTTATTCAATTTAAAATGTCCACTCATTACAACTAAATGTGAATTAACACGGTCCTCCAGGCCCCAACACTAACAAGTATAATGACCAACACCATGAACAAAAGAATTACTGTTAATGAATGAATAAACCGGTCAGCAGTGGACTCGTCTCCTCACTTATTTGCTGGTATAGTGCGATTCTGCTTCCTTTTCTGTTTGCAATTACTTTAGAAGACATATACATAATTAATGTAAAAAACAGCAATCGCAAAGCACATATCATTGCCACTCAACGGAGGAGTTTTATCTTATGTTCACAAATTCAGTTTCCTTTCAGTTATTGTGTTTACGTAACTGTAATACATATGCACACATAAATACAGTGTACATGCATCCCTCCCTGCAAGCCTGGCTTCTGATCCGTCTCTCTGATGGGACGAGAGCTGCTTTAGAGCAGAAAGTCTAAAAATAACACGGACAGAAGAGAGATGTCTGAGCAGCACCTGTCTGAGTGAATGATAATCTGTGTACTGAAAAGTGCAGAAAGACAGAGAGGGGCTGGCTAAAACTAATTATGTTGACCTAACGGATAAATGGGAGCAAGGCCCAGGACCTGGACTCACAGCATGAGCAATGTTGGCTGAGAAACACACACACACACACACACACACACACACACACACACACAGTAATATTTGTACTTACTGCAATCCATGACAAGTCGAAAGAGCCACAAAGGAGTGAGGACTGTCTCTGACCTTCCCCTGGTAGTAGCAGTGCTCTCCTCCCTGTGAGCAAAACACAAACACACAGAGATTAAGATCACACACGCCGTCGCCTCCTCGAGTGTCTCATTGTGTGAAATATCCAACTTGCTGCAATCATTTACATATTCCATTAGCAAATGCGTCCAGCGTGATCAATCACCCAGAACTCGGGGTTACTTTACTAACACACAAGTGCAAGCAAGATCAGATATAAGTGTGTGTGTGTGTGTGTGTGTGTGTGTGATTCTACACATTAACCCATTTACATCCCACCATCTCTGTGTTAACTGCTCAGTGACTTTTCTCTTCCCAACTTCTCCACAATAAATAGCCACAGCTTCACATAAAAAATAATCTGCATCTCTTTAACCGCTGCCCGTCAACCACTCATTCTCTGTCCTCACTCTCCATCCGTCTATATGCAGATTGTGTGTCTCTTCCTCTCTCTGCAAGCATAAACATGCATTTATTTTCAATAGACGTGTATGATGTCTAAGTGTCTAAGTGCTCTGCAGGCCGTCTCTTCCTGGTCCATTTCTTACTGCCTAACAGCCATTAGGCAGGAAGCTGGTCTCCCTGAGGAAACACAGCTTTTATCAGTGGATCAATTTTTGCTCTACAGTCTGATGCTGTGAACAGCAACACTGCTATGTCCACTTCTACGTCCACTTTTCTCTGTAGACTTCATCCGTGTCCATCTTATTGGTTTATGCGAGGATGCATATTTGTGTTTGTTTTTGGTATTCAAAATCATTGGTCAAAAGTGTGTGGAAACCTAATTTATTTATTACGCTGACGGAACAACCTCCAGCCTGGGAAGACTTTCCACAAGTGTGTGTGTGTGTGTGTGTGTGTGTGTGTGTGTGTGTGTGTGTGTGTGTGTGTCTGCAAAGGATTCATCGCCATGCTGACATTGCTTTTTGTTTTGTTATTCTCAAGGTTCGCTCTCAGTCCCACTTACATCCCAAGCAATAAGTTATAAGTTCTATGACTCTGTTACATCCAAGATTACCAGAAATAACAAATAAGACTAATTCAGAGTTACCATCAGTGCATTTATGGCCAAACGGGTGAAAATATAAAAAATACAGAGAGATGAAACCTACAAATGCAACGCAACAAAATCAGTTTATCACGTTTGTTACACAAGCACATGAAGCTACAGGTGAAGAGAGGCTGAGTAAAGATAGAGCGAGAGTAAAATGAAGAGACATAGGGTGAGAGAGAAAGAGAAGCTATTTATAAGTTGTGCTGTGCTCCACTATCTCAGTGTCGCTACTCCTCCTGTCACCCTGAACCTTCTGCTCCACTTCTCATCAAAGCATGAAAAGCACCCAAAACGCGGCCCTGTGGTACACCCTCATTCTGTGTGTGTGTGTGTGTGTGTGTGTGTGTGTGTGTGTGTGTGTGTGTGTGTGTGTGTGTGTGTGTCTAAATGAGCTCTGATCTGTGATGTCCTCAGACACATATNTGTGTGTGTGTGTGTGTGTGTGTGTGTGTGTGTGTGTGTGTGTCTAAATGAGCTCTGATCTGTGATGTCCTCAGACACATATAAGAGTAATTAATCATCTTATTTGAACATAATAATGCACAATGAAAAGGTTAACAAGTACCACACTCTGCCTTCTGGAATCAAACACAGTTATACATTATACTAAATGCATTATACTTTATTATACACTAGACAAATAAGTGTATTTGAGTATGTGGTGTTAAGCCTTCCAGAACATCAAAAAGAGCTAAAGTAGCTCGTATTCGTTAAATCAGAATAAATTCTGGATATTCATCTACAAAGTAAATTAATTCACAGAAAGATTGCTTTCTAATAGCTTCCATAATTACAAAGTGACCATATCATAGAATATGCAGTGTAATAACTTGGCTCATTCTCTGTAAAGTACCATTTAACTAATCTGCTGCTTAGCTGAGTAAATCCTGGCCATTATAATCCCCACACTTACATTACACGATACCTCAGTGGGTGTCCTGTAACTGAAGTCCAGATTTTAGAGGATTATTACAGCAATCTTAATCTCACGATAGCTGAAGGTTCAGGCGCCATCCACAGTTTCCCTTCCACTGAAATCTAAGATGAATGAGGGCTAAGTATTTGTGTCTGTGTGCAAACGGACTCAGTGATTAACCAATGAACGGCTCAGTGATGGAGAAGAAGCTGCTGCAGGGTGTAGAGGAGATTGCAGCTGTACATCAGCCCCTCTCTGATGTTTGAAGTGGAGTAGACACATGATGTTTAAGCTATAAGACGTCTATATCTCTACTGTACCCTGTTACATGACACACATGGTACGTATGAGGGTTCATGATTTTCTGTCTGTTGTTTATTGCTGTGCAAGTCTTGTACAGTTGGTTTGTCAGACCCTGGAGATATTGCACTGCTGTGGTTGAAAAACTGTTTCAGAGAGTTGTACGAATGAAAACAATAATTCAGTGATGATTCTCTGTAGATCACAACAAATAATTATTTATATAGAACAAATTATTGATAACAGCTGCTGTGAGAATTTCCTCAAACTCTACAGATTATTCACACCAGGTCGAGAGCTATTCAAACCAAACCACCTCCAGGCATTTGATGTGTTCCTCGTGGTCTCACTGTCAAGACCTGGGCCCCATAAAAACACTGTGGTTTCCATTTTAATTGCAAATAATAAAGTGGTTATTGAAAGTGTGTGTTAAGCATAAACTTACATTGGTGATGACAGCTTTCCCTTTTTCTGACAAATGCCTCTCCACGTACCCCGAAGACAGCAGGTCACTGGAACAGAGAGGAAAGAAAAGAGAGAATTATAGTTAGAAAAGTATTTCAGTATGCTTGTATTTTATAGGATGATTGTATTCCATCTATGCAGCACAGAAAGCTTCAGAGCATGAGACCAGCTAATTCTGACCAGCGAACTGGGACAAGGCTATTTCCTGCACACAAATCCACACAAACACAGTTATAGAAATTTAGCCTTCTCACAAGTGTCTGGTGTGTGTGTGTGTCTATCAGAGCAATGAAGGACAAGTGAAGGTCAATACGCAGTGAAAAAAACAAGCAACACAGGCAGAATAGGAAGGAAGCAGGAAATAAATTGAGAGAGTAAGGAAGAAAAACAGAGGCATAAATAAGAGCAAATCAGTCTGTGTGTGCTTTCTCAGCAGAGCTGGACCCAAGAATCCCAATGGAGACACACACTGCAGGAACAATCTGAGACAGAGATGTATGAGGTGGTGTTGTGCTCACACTCACACACACACAGAGAGAGAGAGAGAGAGCAATGCGGCATGATGTGGATGTATCCCTTGAGCCACTTTCCAAATATAATACAGTTTAATGTTTTAGCCTCTTACCTCACAAAAAGGTGATGGATACACACATGTACAGGCAGGGACACATTCCCTTACTCATAAACACAAATAAGTACAGTGGAGACCAAGATTCAGAGACTACGTTGACTTTTGGATCCAACTGTATATTCTGTACATTAAACAGAGCCAGCAGGTGAACAAACAAATAAACAAACACATAGGTTTGCACAGACATTCTTATTACTTCCACCAAGGAAGTTGTGTTTGTCTGGTCATATAGGCAACGTTACACAAAGCCTAATGGACAGATCACCATGAAACTTGGTAGAAGGTTGTGGTATCGGTCAGGGAAAAAATGTTTAGTAGATCGAGGGATTTTTCTTTACCATTAAAGACTGGGTGTTTCTTTTAGGAGTTTCTAAAGAAATATTACAGAGATCTTGATGAAAAATTCCAGGCATATTTAGGTGATATTTGAGTGCACACAATTTTGCGTGGCTTGATTGATTTTAAGGTAAATTCTAGTTAGGATTTTGCATTGACTTTCATTCATTGTAGAAACCCTGACCAAAACATAATCTCCAACATTAACCATCATCAACCGATATTCAACGCTACTTAAACTAATCAAGAATCATCTCACCCTTAGCCTTAACCAACAGTTCTAAAAGGACATTTTGCTGCATTAGGACCAGGCTTTGGTCCCTGGGGTTTATTGTGGAAAAGGTCCTTAAGAGGCAACAAAAGCGCGCACACAGGAGCTAACCTTGCACCAGAAGAGAGCGGTATAAAAATTCAACAGAACAATCAGCATGCTTGCTGAATCATCTCATCTGACTCATGAATAAAGCAAATAGGGGTATTTTACAACTACTACTTTCAATGTTTGTATTATTTAGTCAACCTTTTACAGAGAAAAAACATTTCCATTTTTTATTCAAAAGTCTATTTTGTCATGGACCAACATAAGGCATTGATAGTTCTATATCCACTTTTTCAACAACAGTGTAACCTTTGAGAAAAGAAGCGGCTGCTGTGTTTAAAGCTTAGAAAATTCAGATTCTGTCATAATAAGACAAATGATAAATGATTCTGTTCTCGATGCAGATACATCATACAAGTAGCAGCTTCTCTCAGGAGGGAAAAGTTTTTCTAACATGATAAAACGTACATAATACAAGCCCCTGACATCAACACACACACACACACACACGCACGCACGCACGCACACACGCACACGCACGCACACACAAGGCAAAGAGGATGCTCTCCAAGATGACTAATAGGCAGTTTGCTATGGCCATAAAAAACATGCAGGGAGACAGGGAGAGTAGAGAGAGGGAGTGAGATGAAAGAGGGAGGGAATGGCCATCAAGGGGGGAATATAGAAGCAGAAGAGAAGAGGTAGTGAAAGTTAAAGAGAGGGAGGAACAAGGTGCGAATACAGATCTCAGGCCCTGAGCAAACACTTTCCATCATGCACTGCAATGAACCTTCCCTTGAAAATGCCTCCTCCTGGTGACGTCGAAACAACATGCAACCCCCATCCAACACACTTGACACCTCATGCTCAAAACAGCCCTGTGCAAATGAAACCCTCCATGACTCTTGAGACACAAGCAACGATTCATTGACATTTCTGCATCAAACGAAAATGCCATCAAGACGTTCATGGGCTCCTTTAATGAAGACGTCCAATGTGTGTGTATGAGTCCCTGGGTCACAGGCGGGCACTGTTAGCCTTTGTTCTGCAGGGATGTGTGTTTAAAAGATTCAGAGCTTGTGATCTTTATCCGGCTCCATGCTGAGCCCAGAGGAGGGGGGGGGGGGTTGGCAAGCGAAGAGCATACTGAGGCAGCATGGCAGACACACGGGCTTCTAATGGAGGACGCCGATAACAGATTTCAGCTTTAATTGTTACAGGATTTAAATAATTTATTTGACAGACAAAGACGCAAACTCAGCCTCGACCCCAACCCCCACACACAGGGAGATCACTCCTCCAATGCATCTTGTACTCTCTCTCTTACTGTTAACATGAGTGTAAATGCATAACTGAGAGCAACTTCTTTGTAGCTTCACTCTAATATGCAAACAAACATAAAAAAAAGTACTAGATAAACACAGTCTTATACTTCGCTGTTTGCCTGGATTTCTCCCTGTGGATGTAGATGCTGCAAACTTTCAGCATAACTCATGATCAGAGTCAGAGATGTTTGTCTAATAAAGCTCATTAAAAAATCGGAGGCCTTGATGCTCAAGAATTAAATAAATTATCACAACTTAACGTAACAGATTAGTGGCGTCACACATATTTCGGTGGCATCTGGCACCTCTGTGCAGACCAGATGTGTGGCTGAAACAGAGAACAGGCAATTTTCCGTCTCGTTTTCTACGTCTGTTTCTCATTCTCTCAGCTCATTACCTTTTTAAATACTCATGCTTATCCTTCGCTGTGCTGGAGTGTTCGAGGCCTCCGTCACTGCAGCAACATCTGTAAGAAAGCCAGCGTCCAGCTGCCAAATCAACCCTGGAGGAGATTTCGGAGGTGGATCGACAGACGCTCCACTTTCAGCCTACATTTCCGAGGCAAGCATCGCCCTTTAAAAGCAATCACATCCCTCACTCGCTTTTACCTCACTATAATGTCAGCCAACCCACACACAAAGGAAAACCAAGACCACTGATACTTTTTTTAGTTGAGAAAATGCACTGAAAAGCCTGTTTCATCTTAATTAAGTAGATCTTCAGGAAATAAAAAGTGACTGAAAGCCAGCGAGTGCACCGAGTGCGTCTGGTTGTCACTGACATCCAACTTCAGCCTTTCTGATGCTCTGGGCTGAGACATCTGCTGTGGCAACCCAGTTCCATCTCCTGAGGTGAAGCATCAACACACAAACATCAACTAAGTTTCCACACAGTCAAAAATTCCTCTCACGATCTGTGTCGCCAAGCACTGAGATGAAAAAGAGCACAAAAAAGATTGGCAGGGCGCGGATTGGCACAAGTGTTGGCATAGCTGGCTTTGTATTGCTTTCACACAGGCTTTCCAAAGACTCCTCTTAATACACCCAACATCTCAAAACACACAAAAAATAAGCAAAGTCTCACAGATATTAAATTTTAAAATCAGAATCAAATGTGTCCATACATTCATACATATCTGACACAAAGGCAGCACTGCTGTCATCAAATGCACTTCTGCTCCATATATGGATTTGCCATTTAACCCAGTAATAAAAGGGCACTGCAACACAAAGGACTGAGCATGTGCTGTGTCAGGCTTCCGTAATGAGGATGGGGGAGTGCTGAGTGAAGGGCAGAGCCACAGAGAGGAGAAAGGATAAGTGCACCAGAGAAGCATGAGGGGGATGCAGTAAGATGGAAAGGTGGAAAAAGGGAGTAGAGATGTGAAAATTATTAAAGGAGAGAAGACAAGAGAAGAGAGGAAGGGGAGGAGGTCTCTCTTTGGGAAAAGCTGCAGCTGCTCTCACCTGCCCACCACCCCCATCTTTAGTCCTCCCTCCCTCTGAGGCCTCATTAAAGGTCTCCAGGCTATAATTCATTCACTCTCCAATCACTTATCAGACATGCAATTCCACCGGCACGCTCACTGGGATATCTGCTCTTATTGCACCGGGAATACTGACGCTCACAAACAAGAAATATTGATGCCAACCGATGGGAAAAAAATCTAACAGAACGCTCATAGTCCTGTTGTGTGCAGCCATTGGTCCATTCTTCAGTTGGGTATATGGCACGCAACATACAGGCCTAACAGAGTTGACTCCTGAATTATGCAGCATATGGGGATGTTATGGGCACTGAAGAGAACAAGCAGATCTGTATCTGTGACAACACGTGGGCTCCTAGTGAACTCCACAGCATGTAAACAGGGTTAATGGAGACAGAAAGACAGACCTTTGGGAACCCTGTTTGCTGATCCATATTTTTATACCCTTACCATTGTACTTATTATGTGCTTGTTGTGCGGTGGAAAATTTAGTTAAACAGTTAATCTCTGGAAAATAAACCATACTTTTTATTGATTTTTACTGAGCATGACAGAGGAAAAAAGAATAATCTATGAGAGACAACAGAGGCATTAGTATTTTTTCCTGCTGAGAGAACAAGAGTCTTCCTCCTGTCCCTGTCTTCAGTGAAAACCAGCTCCTTCGTCACTCTTTGTCTCCACTAATCCTCCACACTAAGTGAGACAGTTCAACAAAGGACAGGGTGAATAGAGGGGTAACACTAAAGCAATATAATGAGATGGGCAGAAAGAGAACGAATGATGGATCAGAGAAGGGGAGGCTGGTAATTCAGTGCTTGATACCCTGTAAAGTCTACAATCACCCTTAAAGTGCAGGTTCACATTGTTGTTAGCTGGACCAGACTGAAACATCTCAAGAACAATCTGATGAATTGTCATTATATGTATTAAATACCATTAATATTTACGTT